TTGCTCCAAGGTGAATTACATCACAATTAGTATTATTAATACTACTAATGATGACAATCATACTGTAGGATGGAATCTCAAAAGTAAGTATGGTTCACTAAAATATATACAATTAAAACATAAAACCTGTCAGAATTAAAGTATTACTAGTATTAATACTAACACACAACCACAGCATATTGCTACATTTATTCAGTGCCTCACTTCTAAGGTTTTAAGCACTATTGCTTACCATTTCAGACTTGGGAACTAAAAACAGAAGTGGTAAAAGACACCCAAGGAAAAGCAGGTTGCTGCTGTAAGTAGCTCTAATTCCTGGACCAGATTTTTCAAAAGCAGTGTTTCAGGACATTGACCTGAAAGTATGTGCTTTAGAAAGTGCCATCTCTGAGATGAGATATCAAAGTAAGGCCCTGATTGCTGAGTTCAGATTAAGTATTACCCACTATGTCCTAATTCCTTTTACACTCTGGCCTCCCAAAAGCTCTCCATCAATCATATGGGTGAAGCACTTTCTCCTTTCTCCACTTGATGTGCTGTGTGATGGAACTGCTGGTTTGCCCCCGAAGTCCAATGATGTACTGTCAGATTAACTGGCTTCTGGAAGTGTGTGCGTGTCTGTGTGTACCTTGCAATGGACTGGCGTCACATCCAAGGTGTATCCTGTCTTGTACCTACTGCTTGCCAAGATAGGCTCAAACTCTGCCATGACCTTAACTGGATGAAGTGGTTAGATAATGGATGGATGGATGGATGAAGTTATTGGAGCAGAATGAGGTATGCTACACTGCAGAGGTAGATGAATACATACTTCCTATATGTGAAACAGTTTGGGATCCATTAGGATGAAAAGAACTCTGGAAATGCAAGCAATCATTAGAAATTACTACATTTTAGTAGTTGCAATTTATTTGTAATTAAAATATACATAAATGGGAAGTAAGCTGCCACATTTACATCCTTCAGTCACTCTGATATAACCTTGCAGTGCTACTGTATAGATTTTGAAAAGTAATATTAGGAGATAATTGTATTCAAACTCCCTTATATCATAGTAAAATTGTTTCACAAAAAAACTTTAAATCAACTGTTTATACAACCTGAGATCTACAGTTTTTAGAAAAAGGATATGTACCATTTCCTTATGTTCTCTGCAAGAGCCAGACATAGTACCAATTAATTCTGCACTTTCACACACAGGACTTAAATGGTCTCATTAAAATGTGAGGCTGGAGGGAAAATGAAGGGCAAACCTCATTCCTTGGGAGAATAACTAAAATGAATTTATGATGCATTTTTTTCTGCGTAACAGCAGGAACATGTATCTAAACAAGGGCAGGATAAGGTTTTATCTTTATGTATAAATTGTACCCACAGCTCACTTGCACCTTTTTGAAAGTGTGCTTGTTATCAGCAAAAAGAAGACCACAGGCGTGAATACAAACCAGACCAGATACTGTTCCTCTGAGACTTAAACAGCACTGGCAATATAATTTACCCTACTCCGCAAGTAAGAGCTAATAAACAAAATATAGGCTAGCACGAGTCCCAAATTGTTTAACGCACTAGACAGACTTCATTTAGAAAACTGCACAATTTTATTCACCATGTTATAAAAATACATTGCTGGAATCCATCAAGATGAGAGCAAGCCCTACTTTCCGGGGCTTGAATACTACACTGGTGGGCTGAAGGGACTGAATCATTTTAATCTTAAACAGAGAGCACTACGAGGGGACCTGATACATGTGCTCAGAAACCTCAAATGCACTGACAGCCAAATCACAGCTGATTTCTTCATAATGAACACTGAAACATGAACCGGAGGATATAACTGAAAACTACATGGAAGTGCAGTTAAATGGAGAACATGAGGTACAAGTTTGCCTAAAGGTTTGTGGGAGTACTCCACAAGCTACCCAGCTATGCAGTTGAAGCCAAAATGCTGCTTTCTTTCAAGAAACAGCTGGATGAGCTCCTCAGATCAATTAACAACTACTAAAAGGACTAGATGGGCTGAATGGCCCCCTCTCATTTGTAACCATTCTTATGCATGTAAAAACACAGCATTATACTTCTCCACAATGTGTTCTCCATAAAAGCCTTCTAAAAAACCTTCATTTTTTTCTTCGTTCTCTTTACATCTTATAGAAAATATATATTTTATTATATACATTATATATAGCTCTCTCCACTGGTGTACACTTTGGTACCTTGCTAAAGAACAATTAAAAAGGCAACAAGACAAGTGGACTGATATTGCACAACCTGCCTAAGAAAAAAATGCCATGACCTAGGAGGAAAAAAAAAAATTGTACACTGTTCTTGTGGAGGACATCAAAGTACCACAGAAATATGGTACACAAGTGAAGGAGGGAGACTTCAAGTGGAAAAGGTTTAGTATGGCTAGAAAAATCAGTCATATTCAAACTGCAGCTTATAAAAATGTTTATTTTTTCAGATCTAGCTCCTTGCAGTCAAATTGTCCTAAAGTCCCATTAATATTGTCAAGAATGTGGGAAAACACTCTTTGGGAAAACAAGATTAAGTTAAAACGATCACCTTCATGGCCTTATTACATTTTTTCTTTCCACTTTTCACTAAATAGATGCATTTGCTTAGCATCGATGAATAAAGTCAATGCCAAACACTGCACGAACAGCAGGCACTCCCATACTGTGAAGCCCTGGTGCAGACTCGCAGAAGGATTTACACTTAGTGTGACTGAAAAATGCCCAGTGCCACTCCCCTAATCCTGCTTAGCTTCATCACAAAGAATTTCAATCAGGCATGTGAACAATTAGCTAGCTCCATATGTCTGTTTTAATAATCCATTGTCCAAATTCCCAATTCACTGCAGGGGTCTCCCCCGAAATTTTCAATTAAAGTGATGCTGTCGCTGGGGAAGGGTTAGGAGTTACCATTTCTCCATAATATATTGCATAATATATATTGAATGTGAAATGTAATCCACAGTTTTCAGTCCACTTTGCTCAACGGTATAGCCCTCGTACCACCCCAGGGGACAATGTGCATGGCTCGGCAGCAAAGATGCTTGCTTAGAACACAGGCTGAGCCCTGTGGTATGTGTTGCATTTCATGCTATGTTAGCCAACTGTAACCAGGATTACCAAGTAACTATATACAACTAAGTGTTGCAGGAGTTAGGAAGGGATCGGACATTTGGCTTTACAGGGACTCCTAGGACACATCAGGAAACTGCATAGTAACTGTGACATGAGTTAGAGATAGTGCTGGGCGATAATTCGATAACGATAATTATCGCGATATAATTTTCCAGCTATATAATTTTAACAAAAGTTTGATAAATGTTCGATATATATGTTATGCTTTGCACAAAATACTGCATGAGTGCGCGTGCGCGTTGCAGACTGGGCAGCTAACGTGGTGCTGTTTACCCACACGGTGGTGGCTGACAGGATTGTAGTTAGTGGAGAAATGAGCGACACTGAAGAAAATGTAGTGCTGCCAACGAGCAGCTTGAAGGACGATGACATCGTCGACAGAAAAGGTCATTCAACCTCAGTAATTTGGAGATATTTTGGCTTTTTACGATCAGACATAAAACAGAGCACTTTAAACACTGCAGTCTGTCTGAGCCATCTTCTATGTGTGTTTTATCACACTGCAGTATTTAATTTTTCTATTAAGATATTTATTTTGTAAATTTTACTCATGCATATTTTGACATAAAAAAGACTTGAATACTCTCTACCTCAGATTTGTTTAATGTTTCTGCTGTTTGGCAAGTGTTTGTTGTGTTCTTAAAATAAAGAGTTGTTTAATTTACCAATTAACTGTCTGGTTTCTTCAAATTTCACTCAAGAGAAAAAATCTGCCTTTAAACTCGATAGGAATAATGATTTGACATTTATTGTGATAATTATCGATATCGACTGATATGAAAATTTTTATCATGATATTTTTGGCCATATCGCCCAGCCCTAGTTAGAGACAGCCCTCCCTCCCAAACCTCTGTGAACATTCCTATACAGCACTATGGAGCCGTTTAACTATGTTAAAAATAACAAGTATGGATGTTAGTGAAGCGTATCCATAGGTTCTTACTTTCCTTGTGCATAATAGGTGTAAAGTTAGTTAGAAATGACTGGTTATTCCAGAATAAGTGGGTGTAACATAAAAAATATCACTGGCCATATTTTCACACAGCCCCTATGGCAGATTGCGGCATTAAGCTTCAGACTGATTCAGTGCTTAGAGAGGGTATTATTACACATTACCAATACAATTAGTTCCATTGTTTGAGCTCTGATGGTAATTTTACCTGCATTTCATTAATTTGCTTTTAAAACAATTTATTATCTTTTCAGAAGGTGTGGAGGAAGAGACAAAGTACTGAATGACCTAATAAATTATTGTTCAGATCACTAAACTCGAAGTGTAGATACAGTCTGTGCTACTTTTTCCAGGAGCCTAGGTGACATGACATGTGCAGGAGTTAAATAAGAAAGCATGAAAAGGGTTTAGTTTTATTACAGTTTATAAAACCTCCCACTACATACACATCAGATTCTCAGGAAGTAGTTTCAGAAAGCAGCTTACAGAAAATCACTTGACTGCCTTCAGTCAATGCAGTCTTTTATTTGCTCAAGGAAATATAAATGCACTTGTGCCAGCCAGGCTTCACAACACTATGTACAAGATATTGTGGGTTGTATGATATTGAAAAAACAAAGACGAGATAACCAAAGAGACATATAAAGATGCAAAACACAGTGATTCATACAGGCTTCTTAACTCTTAAAAGAATGCAACTTTTGGCAGGTAAACATTTTGCCACTGCCGTGCCCTAGTCAAATCTCCACGACAGCCACAAACTCGATTTGCAACAAGGAACAAAAAGACGTTAAAGAGCGGCATTAGAATTAATCTCTGCAAAAAGGTCAGATGCTACATAATACACGGTAGCCTTCCAAAAAAAGTCAACACCTGCCAAGAGATAAGAGAATCGTACTCACAGCCAATCAGGACAGTTGTTGCCATGGTTGCAACGGTACTTGGCGCGTCACTCAGGTTCAGCATGTTTCCCGACATCTGGTTGAGGTTGTCTACTGCATATTTAAACATGAAGGGAACCACGATGTTCGTCATCTGAAAAAAATGAAACATTTCCATTTCACCATTATCATGCAAGGCCTGGAAATCTGTGAAATGACCCCCTAACAGGTGGTCAATAACCACAAACACCTGAACCCCAAGTCTTGCCCCTGACAACTAAAGGAAGCAAAGGAGAAATTGAAAAGCCTGTGTGGGATTTTTCTGCTTTCAGAAGTCCTTGTATTATCTAACCAACAGGCATTGTGATGCACAGCTTGCTCTGGAAATAAAACCTACATCACAAAGCAGTTTTGATCCATTTTCAGCTGCAGGCTTCAGTATAAATTATACCAATGAAGCAGAAAAGAATATCAAGTTTTGTTTCACACCACTTGTCTAAAATTTACTCAAAACAAGGGGATAAGCAAGATCTCTTCAGCACCTTGTATTGCTGTATCTACAAGAGCCTGCAGTCTTTTACATATTAAATAGCTACTAAGCAATGGAAGTCTTTACTTCTGTTCCTGCATGCATAATTTTAGGTGAATGTTAGCTTAGATCACCTTGCTGCGAAAGACCTCACATTTGTATGATCAGCACTGCTCCTACAGTGTCCCTAAGGTGAATAACATTGAGTTAACAGTAAGAACGCAACTGACTTCGTTTAAGAAATAATAATAAACTTCTGTATCTGAGTATTCCTGAATTTTACAAAGATTGTGTGAAGCACAAATACCCCACTGGGCACCGATTATTTTAGTAAACCTTTTACAATATAATACAGCACTTTAGCAATTTGAGAGTAGAGTTTTTCTAAGTGACAACAATAATTTACCACTGGAGAATAGAATAGTAATACTCATTTATGGAACAATGCAGACTATGTATAAACTAAGGGCAGTTGGAGGGATGTTAACTGTCAGTTTGGATTTTGTCCCTTATTTCACCAAGCATACTGCAGACCTTCAGCATTTCTATTTCATTTTCTAGCCTCTTCCTTTGAGGCAAGAAGAGCCGACAAACAACATTCTGGCTGGACACTAAGTGAACACAAAACTAATTCTTCAATTACTGGAGTAGTTGTCTGGAACACAAAATAAAACATTAAATAATCTAACTTGCAAAAGCTGCCTGAATCTCTTATCTTTACAACAAAACAAGGTGTTCCATGCCAGACTTGTCCACTGTTCCTAAATAGGAAATTCACTTGTGATAAGCGCTTTCACAAGAGAGTAAGCTTGTTTGTTGGCACGCCACCTCATAAATTCAAAGCCAAAGAACACACCGTGAGAGTCCTTTAATCTCGTTGGCTGAAGTGAACACTGCATGATAAACAGAAACTGCAGTCTTCAATACCAGAATCAACTATTTAAAATGTGGCCAAGCAGTAAAAATAACTATTATGGCAGCATTGCCCCAAAGCGCGTTTCCCCATGATTGGCAGGCAAATTTTTCAATGCTTGTTTCTGGCTGTGAGGTTGTAATGTAATGGCTCACCTTAGGGAAACAAAAAGTGGAACACCTGATTTTTAAAAAATGTTTCCTGGCACCTGTGCAATATAATAGCTTGCAACAATGGTGGTCATATGAGAACTGTTCATACAGATATACCCGAGGCCTTTTCTAGTCTTTGCAGAATTTGTTCATATTCATCCTTCTGGGTTAAAGGCAATTAGTATTTTTGCATGAGCTGCCATCAGCATAATTCACACCCAAGGTATTACAATCCTATACGTATTTAATTTGTCCCAGTTGTTAGTACCAATGTATCCTGCATTGCTACTTTTTACTAACACTACTGCATTTACAATGCACAGAAAATTAAAAACACTTGGTGCTAGGATTTTTTTTTCTGTTCAGTTTGATTTTTAAAATTCCTTTAGCCAGAGGCGACTGTATAAATTAAGAAGGAAATGCTGGATTTTATTGGTTCTTCTGTGCTAATAGTCTGTACATAGATCACATACCACTTGTGCTCAGTCTGCTTGCCTGACCTGTAGTATTGTAGGTTGACTTGACAGCAAAGTTAAAGAAAAGATCACTGTAATCTTGACAGTGTTCATCAGGGCTGGGTACAAAGAGTCTGCTGCTAGTACATTTTGACAGTGACATTATACTTTTTTCTAGAATCAGCATTTAGACCAGCAGTGCGTGCATTAAAAAAAATGATAAAGGATTTTGTAGTACCACAGAAAACCAATGACGTGAACAGTGCTACAGCAAATACAGTACATCACACTTCAAAGATGACCATTTCAAGTGAGGGTGCCATCCCCAAAACAAAAAAGCAGCCTCAGCTCCTGACAAGATAACATTCCCATTATACCTGTTATTACTACATGGTGAAGTCTACTTTCCATGTGGTTTCATAAAATCTTTTGGTTAAATGGTTTGACATTGAAGGTGGTTTATTACAAAGAAATGTGCTAATGCTTTTGGTATTAACCACATTACTAAAAACAACAAAGGAACTCCATTGTTTATTGTGTTTGATATGAGACTTGCTTTTCACGCCTTTTAGAATGTTTTTTTGTATATTTATTTTATATATTCTGAATCTGTATGTTGTACTTTCATGTAAGATTTCTAAACTGTTTCATTTAAAAATATGGAGCATACAAATACAGACCCCTTCAGGGCCTCGTGTGTTGATACCACAATGTGAAACAGCCACACTTTCCTTTTCTAACCACTTTATCCAATTAGGGTTACCAAAGAGGCAAAGCCTATCCTGGAAAGCAACATGCATATGGTAGGAAACACCCTGAACTTGATGCCAGTCCATTGCAGGGTACATACCCAGACTGACATACATACTCGCTTGCACCAGAGTCAATTTCCCCAAAAGGGAATTAATCAATCATTATGTCTTTGGACCATGGGAGGGAAGTTGAGCAGCCAAAGGAAACCTATATGTACATGGCTAGAAACTCCATGGAGTTTCTAACCGCACACTGGATCTGGAATTAAACCCAAGGGCCCAGTGTTGTGAGACAGCAATGCTAACCACTGTACTGCCAATGTGGAAAACAGAAAAATAAAACAATATCTTAAGATCAACACTTAAATTACCATAACCCACACCCCAATTAATATTTTTTACGGTCTATGAAAGGCAAAAGGTGTTTTATCACCTCAAAGGGCCTCAACCTACAAACTATGAAACAACCTTGCAGGAACTTCAGTTTTAAATTCATTTGATTTTTATGGCACAGTATTTCAAATAATTACTTGAAAGTAAGCATAAATCACATTCTGAAAAGGGATTTGCCTGTAAGAATCCTTGAATTTATCAAACATTATAAATTGATGACACATAATTGAAGAAAATCTGTGAATATGAGAAGAGAAAAAAAGTAAGGTTGTCTTTATTTAAAACTGCAACTGCATCAAACTGTTAAGTCATTCTTATGTTTGTAATTTACACCCTATGTTAATAATGTTGGCTAGACACTTGCAAATAATTTAAGATGAAAATGTGTCCCTCCTAATGAAAATATTCGCTACAGTGTCATAGAAATGAATTCAGACCCTGAAATCCACATTTTGTTTCTTTAATGCTTGTAGTCCTGATACTTTGAAATACACACAAATAAAAAATTAAACAGATAACATGAAAGACAAATGTAAGTTATGAATGTGTAAGTATTCAAAACTTTTGCTGTGGCAATCCTAATCTAGGAGTAAATAATTACCTTAATGGACCACACAATTAGCTGAGTGACCTCATAGTGGTTCATATGATTTCACAATAAAAATACTTGCTTCTGTGAGGTTCTTTGGTCAGGCAGTGAATTTCAAGTAAAGATTCAACCGGTCTAAGAAGTAGTTACTGTAGGTCCTTGAAAAGCACAGATTGGAAGAAGGTCCTAAAATATTTCTCTAGTCCATGAATATCCCTGTGAGCACAGTCTATTGAATCATCAAGAAATGGAAGGTGCCTTGTACCACCCAAAAAATGTTTAAATCAGACTCTCTCCAAACTGAGCAGCCCAGAAACAGGCGAGGGCTGTTACTGAGCAGCCTTCTACAAAAATTCAAGAGCTACAGAGATCAAAGAATGAGACGGGAGAAAATGTCTGTGAGTCAATAATAAAAAAGGTTACAAAGGAGGACATTTAGCCCCTCTAGCCCATTTCGTATTCAGTAATTAACTGATCCAAGGATTAGTGAATGAAACCAAAGTACTCGTTTCAGCCAATTAGTGGCATAATTTCCCAAAATGGGATACCACAGGAAGGGTCTGAACACTCTTCAAGGCATTGCAGTTTTGAATGAACCAAGTGTCTGTAGTTACCTGGTGACACACAGAAACCTCATTAGTAATCCCATCAGGTTTTCATGCTTAGGGTAATTAATGCGTGTAATCCTGTCATCAGTTACTGAGAATAATAAATTGGCAGCAATTTTTTGATCCGCATTTGTCATCTTATCACTGCCAATACTGTTAGGATGTTTACAGCATTTCAGGATTTCTTTTACTCGGAAAAGAAGAAGGTTCCCAGATTGCATCCACTTGGTTTTCAGCAATTCAACTGAATACCTAGATGAAGAATTTTCAATGATAGTTACTGCAGTGCATGACCATAAATATCAGTAGCTCTTGACAACAGTTAAAGCCATTCCTCTACTGGGCAATTTGCCAACAGGCAATAAGTAAAGAATGACTATTACCAAGTCCACAACCATTTTTAAGTATGAAATTCTGAAAAAAAATAGAAAAGCAACTGTTTATAGTCACCAAAATAATTGTACATATTCTATGCTTTTGCACAGCACCTTGGGATAGTTTTTCAAGAAAAAAAGCTATGCAAACCACTATATAATGAGCTCAAAAAACATTTGGAGCAGCCGAACTAAAAAAAAACTCAATGCTACTTTGTGTTAGCTTTAAACTTAATAATTAATTCACGTAGTTTTGGTTGCTTGTTAATACAGATCCAAAGCTCTTAATCAAATGCGATGGAGATACTTCTAGAACTTGTACAGTACAGTATGTTTAGAGTGAGCGTAGCTCTCCATGAAACACGCTATATAGACATTAAAGGAGTGTT